GATACAAGTGATGTTAATTTTGTCCGTTTTGTTTACTGGTGTATCCCCGGCATCCTCACAGGCCTGTACATAGTATATGCCCAGTGAATTCCCATCCCCTCCAATTCCCGCAACAATTATCTCTCAATTTCAAGAATCTGATTGAGAGACTTCAAAGAATGAACGGGGCTTTAGGCCACAAATCGGCCAAGGTAAGTCAAGTTCCTCAGGCCGCTAAGGAGTCTGGGAGATCCTTGTCCTTTTGCAGACCTTCTGCTTTTTCTCCGCAATTGAATGACCCCAGGGAGGAGACAGTAGCCAAGGTTTACAGGAGGGAAATCCGGGTCGGCTGCTCATCAGGAACAACGAGCCAGGAATCACTCCTTACCGGAGGCTCGCATAAAGTAAAAGTACTGACTTCCGGAGGCCGCTGCCGACCGCTAGGCCAATTCAAAGTGGGACTGGGAGAGGATCCTGCAAGCCTGAGGCAGAAGCGGTCTAAAACGACCCTTACTGAGACCGGTGGGACAGTGACCGCTCCCATGCCCATGACCACTACTCCTTCGACCAGTCGGTTTCTTCAGCTGCAGGAAGGCACGCGCTAAGAGGAAGATTTCTGCCGCTTGGCCTTGTGGGAGATGTAGTCTTTTAGGAGCCCGGGCTAGAAGGGCCTTTTACAAAACTGGCAGAAAACACGATGTGCATAGGACTCCGAAACGATCCTCATGCTCACACTCTAAATAATCATTTTTCCCTTTTCTCGACCTCGGCCAGTCTCCAGGGTAGTTCCTTGTGCACCCGCCTCTAGCGTCGCATTGGTCTCCCCTCGCTGGGCCCATCTAGCTCTCTCCGCCTCGCTCGCCTTTCTGCGGCTTGGACCAATCGTAGGTGAGTTCCCGGTCAAGTCCCGGAATGCTTTGCGGCTGTAATGGCTGCCCCCGGCCGGCGCGGGGCTGTGATCTTTCGAGCAGTGTTAGGGTTTTGGCAGCTGGGCCCTGTCTCTGGGAGGGAGTGGGTCCCGTCCCTCTTGGGCTGTCAGCGGAGGTGCGTGTTCTGTGTCGCGGGCGCCGCTTCCTCTGGTCCCCTCCTGGCCTCGGCTTCTAGGCGTTATGGCCAGAACTCAGCCCTGGACCGCTTCCTGGGACTCTCTCAGCCCGACAGTTCGTTGCCGTTGACTCCTCATGTCCCCGCCGTGTCCATGCACAGAGGTAAAGAGCCCAGAGAGATTTGCCCGAGATTGTCACGGTGTTTTACCAGTGAAAGTACCATATGGGGAAACCTCTCAGTCTGGGGATATTATTTTTGGTCCTGTATTAAAGGCCTCGAGAAAGGTGAGCAGTGAAGGATCTCACAGGAGATACCAGGTTCTAAGAGTTTTCGAGCCAGAGGGAACCCATCTGGTCACAACCAGAGACTCTCAGAAAGCACGAGATTGAAGGACCACAGGCCAGGCAGAGTTGTGGCTCTTTGACCCCAAATGGGAAGCTGACTCGGTCCAATAAGTGCCCGCTGTACTTGGCAAGACACTGAACTACAGTTGAGAAATAGCACCCTCTATTCTGGTAGGGGGTAGTATAGACTAGAGTCTTTTAGGGAGTTGGACACATAAATTGATAATTGCAGTGCAATGTCCTAAGAAGCTAATACAAAAAGACTTAGATTTCAGAGCCTTCATAACACCCTTAGTAGGGTGAGACTGACAGGGCTGGAGGGATTTCTGGCTTTACCTGGTCTATCTGTATTCCCATGTAACATATATTTACCAGGCACAACTACATAGTAGTTCCACACAGTAATTGAGTATTAATTATTAATGCCAGGGTTTGTGCTGAGTGGTTTTACACAGTCACCAATTGCTGAAAGATGGTTATAAGTAGGTACCATTAATATCATCCTCATTTTATACATGAGAAAACTAAGGAATTCAGAGAGATTAGAGGACTTGAAAAAGTTACATGAACTAATTAATGGACAAACTGAGTCTCAAAGCCAGATCTCAGCTTCAACCTGGTACACTAATCTTGTATCCCTACTCCCTTTGTGGGTGGGTAGGACTATGTGCCTGACAGGATCCAGACTGTACTCTTTCTCACTCCTTTCCTGCTCCCGCACACAGATGAGCAGGATCTCCTCTTGGTCCATCCCCCCAACATGCCTGAGAACCCCCGCGTCCTACGAGTGGTCCTCCTGGGTGCCCCGAATGCAGGGAAGTCAACACTCTCCAACCAGCTGCTGGGCCGAAAAGTATGCTACATCCTTGACTCCCTCCTCCACCTCCTACCCCCACACACATACACACCCCCTTTTCATCTCTCCATGTATTGTCTTAAAGGGATCTGGAACCTCACTTGGAACTTCTTTGTTCCTGGCAGGTGTTTCCTGTCTCCAAGAAGGTGCACACTACTCGCTGCCAAGCTCTGGGGGTCATCACAGAGGATGAAGCCCAGGTGGTGGGTACCTGCAACACGGCAGAGGATGAAGCTAAGAGGGCCTCCCTTAGTGTTATACCTGAAGAAAATGATGTTTAGACTCATTTCTCTGAGAGGAAAGAGTCTCCTCTTCCTTTAGGCCTGGAGCAGTTCTCTCTGTACCTTTTCCCTTTGGCATCTAGTCAGAAAGGTCTCATTTTTCTCTTTACTGCCTCCTAATCTTCTGTATATTCACAGTCATCCTCCTCTTAGATTCTGTCTAGAATTTAAGCAAAGCTAGACCGTAAAAATTTAGTCAACTTGGCCAAGAAGTTAGGGGGCAGGGGTGGGAGAAGCAAGCTTCTGACATCAAGGGTGGCCTTTCATTCCCAGTCATAATCTTTCCTCCTGGGTTCTGGGGGTCTGGGCATCTCTTGATTTTAGATTCTACTTGACACACCTGGCCTGATCAGTCCTGTTAAACAGAAAAGGTAATAGTTATGAAAACAAGAGTTGTAAGGGGAAAGATGTTGAAGAGTGGGTGGGGAGATCCCATCCTAGGGGCTGGAAAACCCCCTTATCACACCCCATCCCTCATGAAGAGTACATCAGTCATAAGGCCCTTCCTGACCTATGTATGTCTGTCCCTCAGGCACCATCTGGAGCTCTCTTTGTTGGAAGATCCATGGAAGAGCATGGAATCTGCTGATCTGGGTTAGGCTCAAGAATGGAATCTGAAGTCCAATTTACACTGTTGTGGCCTCTTATTCCTGATAGTTTGGGAGGTGGGGGTTGGCCAGAGCCCATCCATTGGAAGTTCTTGGGGGGCGAGGAGAAGAGTGGTCATATCTTTGTCTTTTTCCCCACCCTACCAACTTCCAGTTGTGGTTCTTGTGGATGTCTCTGACAAGTGGACTCGGAACCAGCTCAGCCCCCAAGTGCTCCAGTGCTTGACCCAGTTCTCCCAAGTCCCCAGCATCCTTGTCATGAACAAGGTGAGTACCACCTCTCTGAGGAAAGGGTTTATTTTTCTTCAAGGCCCCCATCTCCCTGACCACATACCCTGTGCCCATCCCCCACACCCAGGTAGATTGCCTAAAGCAGAAATCAGTTCTCCTGGAGCTCACAGCAGCCCTCACTGAAGGTGTGGTCAATGGCAAGAAGCTCAAGATAAGGCAGGCCTTCCGCTCACAGCCAGGCATCCAGTGCCACAGCCCAGCAGCTAAGGAACCAAACACACAGTCTGTTGGAGGCCCTCGGAGGACTGGGTGGCCCCACTTCCGGGAGATCTTCATGTTGTCAGCCCTAAGCCAGGAGGATGTGAAAACACTAAAGGTCAGTCTTGGCCATAGCCTGGCCTTTGGCTTCCACCATGTGAAGACAAGCCTCAGAGTTCCTCCTGGAAGTGAGAGTGAGTAGGAAAGTCCTGGTTGGGACTGCGATGCTCACCTACTCCCTTTGTACCCACAGCAATACCTCCTGGCACAGGCCCAGCCAGGGCCCTGGGAGTTCCATAGTGAAGTCCTCACTAGCCAGACGCCTGAGGAGATCTGCACCAACATCATCCGTGAGAAACTCCTAGAGCACCTGCCCCAGGAGGTTCCCTACAATGTGCAGCAGGTGCAGGCCCAGTGAAAGGATCTGGGGTCTCTCCACCAGGCGCATACCCAAAGCACGGCATCTGGGTCCCAAGAGGTAGGGGTGTGGACCTGCCTGACTAATCATATTTCTTTGTGCAGAAAACAGTTGTGTGGGAGGAAGGGCCAAGTGGGCAGCTGGTGATCGTACAGAAGCTTCTGGTGCCCAAAGAATCTCATGTGGTAAGCAGCACTGGCCTTAGAAGAGGGAGTAAGTGTCTATTAGGCAGGGGTTCTTTTCCCCCTGCTTGGGAGCCCTGAGAGCAGGCTCACTGTCCCTCTCTTTTATCCCACCCTCAGAGGATCCTGATTGGTCCAAAGGGGCACCTGATTGCCCAGATTGCAGAGGAGGTGGGCCGAGACCTCATGAACATCTTTCTCTGTGAGGTTCAGCTACGCCTCTCTGTGAAGCTCCTTGATTGACCACCCTCTGCTATGCCTCCGAAGCTATCCCAGCCCAAGCTTCTGGCAGGAGCTACTGACCAGAATTGTCCCTGCCTGGGACTTGCAGGGACTGGTGAGGAGCATGGATATTGACTGACTGACTCTGGCTGGCCTGGCTGGCCTAGTCTGCACAGCCTCTGCCCAGCCATGTCTTGTATTGGAAGAAGGAACCTACCTAGCTCAGTCCCCAGGTAATTCCTCTCACTGGGGCCACAGCTGCTTAGGTCTAGAAGTTGGCCCCTTGGTGGGAGCAGTGTCACCCTGCTTCCTCCTGTCATTGGGCTCAGAGTTTCTCCCTGAGTTTTCAGTTGTTAGCAGAGGGGGGATCTTTTTCCTCCCCCTCATACCTTCCACCTTGAAGCCGTGTAAGGACCCGTGTGTCCTGAGTGAGATAATGCCTCCCACCTGCTCCCCAAGTCCTTGATCCCTACCACCCCACCAACCTCCCATTCTTGGATACTAATAAAGTTAAAACACAAGCATTCTGGTTCTCACCTTTATTTTTTTAGAACAGGGAAGAGAAAACTTACCCATTCCCTCACCCCCACCCTCTTGTCTGAGCTGGAGTCTCCCTCCCTTCCAGTAGTCTGCTCCAGGATCCTGAAGTCTCTTCTTGGCACGTTTTCTGGGTGCAGCAAGAGAACCATTACCATTACTAAACTCAGTAATGGTAACGGTTTCCTTGCCATTCCCAAGTGCCCTGTCCATGGGCAGGCTGTGATAGGTGATCGGTGAGCTCGATGGGCTGTGTCATCCTCTGCCCTCATCAGGCTCCAGAGTTGGGGGTACCCGGACTAGTACATCATCTATACTGTAGTGTCTCATTGCAAACTTACAGTATATGATGATATCCCAGCCAAGGCCCTGCAGAGGGCACAGCGATCATGGCTTGGAGAGCACTGCGGCAGGGAAAGCCAGGGGCTGGGGGCAGAGAAGGACAGGTCAGGGCCGGGCACACAGAGCTCCCCCATCCTCGCTCTACAGCTCTCAGGCTAGCGTCTTGATTCTGTAGTCAAGGGCTTCCCAAGTGGGTTAGGGGAAGGGCACTGGCCCAGAGAACTTCGCTGAGCAAGGACCTGTTGAGATCACCTTAGGGACCCAGCACCAGAGTTAAGCCAGAGATCACATAATGAGGCAGAGGTCTCCGGTCAGACCAACAGACAGACCCAAAGGAGGGGCACTTACCTAGAGCTGGAACTGCAGACTGGGGAGGTAGAGAGGCCCTGTCCCTGCTTCTGTTCTCCAAGTGCTGGCCTTTTAATCTACTGGCCCCTCCCCTGGGTGGGGCACTTTTCTCGGGAAGGCCCTGCCTCTTAACCCTTTCCCTGCTGGACACCTTGGAAGGAGGGTCACTGGCCCCTCTCCCTATTAGGCCTTTTCTCACAAACTTTTATGGACCATGCTAAGGGAGGATCCACTCTTCACTTTCATCCCCATAAAGCTGGTCATCTGCTGTGCCAGGGAGGAGAAAGAATAGTCTCACCCCATCCTTCAGGGCTTAATTGCTGGTCATCCCTGGTGGAAGTTGGGTTTTTTGTTTGTTTGTTTATTTGTTTGTGGGACTGTTAGTTGAATCTCTGTAAGGCAGGGAGGGTCCTTACAGCTGGATCTTTAGATTCTTGGGGCAAGCTCTGGCCTAAGTTTCAGTCCCTAGGCCCCTGTCTACATTTATGCTGAGCCCAAGGAGGCCAGGCATAGGCAGGCAGACCCCTTGCCCACCTCTGCCATGGCAAGGTCCTCTGGGTGGGTGGGTTGGGGGTCCTCCACTGGGAAATCTGAAGGCAGCTGAATCCCAAACTCTTTCGAGCCTGCATAATAATGGGTGGGGTCTGTTCTTCCAAGATCAAGGCACTTAGAGTGAGAGCCTAGCAGTATTTGGTTCTCTGCCTCAGAACAATGAAGCCCCTGGGGTAGAGACTCCTCAAAGCAGGGTTTCTATTACTTAGACCCCCATTCTTGGGGGGGGGGGGGCACTTCTGCTTCTCTGCTCCTTCCCCTTCCCCTATCCTAGACAATCTGGTCTGTTCTAGGAGGCAGTTATACCGCTCCTCCGCAAGGGCAGATGAGGCCAGGATGGGGAGACCCTCCCGGAAAGACCCAACCTTCTTTTGGTTCCTTGGGTGTGTTCTATTTCCTGATGCCACAGAACCTTGGTACATGTTTTTCCTGGCTTGGCATGATCTTCCCTCCATTCTTGTCTAGTTAGCTCCTGTTCCCACTGCAGATGTCCAAGTGTCACCTCTTCAGGGAAGTCTCCCCTGGTTAGTTAAATCCTCAGGTTATGGGCTCATTTATTTGTACGATTATTCACATTAAGTAAATAATCTTGAGGGTCTGGTTTATTCACTGATGTATCTCTACCACAGAGTAGTGACTAAACATTCATGTCAAGTGACTGACATGGAGCTGAACCCAGTGTAAAGTGGGAAAGGAAGGAGACTTTGGCCTGAGAAGGCAGGTGGACTAAGGTGTAGCTCTCTGAGGCAAGTCATTTTCTCTCTTGAACTGTCTCTTTTCTCCTTTATAAATAGCAATAATAACAGTCCCCAGTTCACTGACTTGTGAGAGCAGGTGATTAGCTGCTAGTAAAGCACTTATTGCAGTGCTAGTGGCAGCCCATGAAAGGGCTTCAAGTTAATTCCTACTTCACCCTCTTCTGACGGGCTCACTGAAGGCCACAGGCAAGGCCTGTTGTCAAACATCTGAAAGCTTATAGAATATTCTTATTTGTTTGTTTGTTTATTTTTTTATGATCCTCACCTGAGGGTATGTTTTCTTATTGATTTTTAGGGAGAGAGGAAGGGGGAGAGAAACATCAATTGGTTGCCTCCCGTACACACCCCAACTGGGGATCAAACCTGCAACTTTTTGGTGCATGGGACAATGCTCCAACTGACTGACCCACCCAGCCAGGGCTCATGGAATATTCTTGAAAGCAGCTCAAGGCCACTGAGAGAGACCAAGTTTAGAGGTAACAGGCCTTGAGTAACAGCCCCAATTCTACTGCATGCATTTCTGACTTTGGGCCAAGTGCCCTTTGTGTCAGTTTCCTCAAATATAAAACAGGAGCTACCCATAACAACCTCATTACCAGGATGATATGATCACTGTTTAAGAGACAATCACAGGCCCAAAATGATGTAACTTGTGCTAAAAGCCCATGATACCAAACCTAGATTTATTACCTGATCTAATTGAAGTTTCAGCCTTTCCCAGGAATGTAATAACCAATCTGGAATTTTCTGGTCAAGCATCAGTAAGGTAATCTGTCATGTGTGCCCTGGCCATCCCTCAAAGAAAGAGGCAACCTGCATAATAAAAACTCTTCCCATTCTCTTCCCCCGCCCCCGCTCCAAAGTCAAGGCCTCAAAATAATCTTAATAGCTCCCTTGTTCCACCCTTCTTCCTGTAAAAACTTCACTTTGTACAACCCCTGGGATTCATGAATCCCTTAAAGCCAATTAGACCTTCAAATTTACTTGGTTGAATTCTGTTTTTTAACAGAATTCATCTCAAACCCAGATCATAGCCTACCATGATAGAACCAATGTCAGTTTCCTTTCCTCCTTTTCTCTGTCTATGAGCTGTGTGACTTGGGGCTAAGTGTCACTTCTCTGAGCTTTGGTGGTAATACATACCAAGTTTTAAGAAGTGAGAAATAAGTGAGAAAACTTTGTAAACCCAGGTGCTCTAACTAAGTGAGAAATTATCATTATCTCTGTTCTTGCCTCCGTGGGATCCCCTTTCCTGTCCTGTGACCCCTCCTGCCAGGCCACCTTTGTTCAGAGACCCCACAGATAGTTCAGGCTCCTTTACCAGAGTAAAGGGCTAAACTTGATGCCATTCATTGTCTAGGCTTATGCTTAATCCCTAGGGATCAAGTCCAAAGGTGAGCAAGGACAGAACCCAGGGGTCCTGGAGGTAGAGGACAGCAATATCTCAGCCAACCAGAGCTCTGGCTGTGGCCCCTGGCTGGGGTGGAGGAGAGTCTGAGCCTGGGTGGGGTGGTCTGGGGCCCGGATAAGCAGACTTGTAGCTATCAGGGTGGGGGCCCTTCTGCTTATCAAGAGCCAGCAGAGGCCACAGTAGGGCCTGAGGATACTTCCCGCCATCTCCTGGATGGCTGGCTTTTAATCCCTGTGCCTCCTTAGAGCCCTAAGGGGGGTTAGGATGGGAGTCCTCCCTTTCTCCAAGTCACATGGAGACCGTACCCCTTGCATGGCTAGCATGGGGGCTGGGGCCTTGGGTTCAGCCTTGCATTTTAACAGGTTTTACTTCAGACTAGGAGCTTCATTGCTCTCCTGAGGCCAGGGTGGACTGGTCTGGGACCTTACCCTTCTAAAGTCAAATTCTAGTCCTTCCCACTGCAGCTTTCAGCCCTTGACTCTTATTTAGACTTTTGGATGAAGTCCTTAAACCATATGGCAAGTGATAAAAAAGAGCCCTTCAAAATCATGGAGTTCAAGTCCTTCATTTATATAAGAGAAGAAACTGAAGCCTAAAGAAGGGGAAAGAATCATTTAATGCTTCAGGGTTCCCTCCAGCTCTCAGCATCAGGGAACCCAGGAATCTAAGAGGAACAGGAAGGCAGCAATATATACCCACAGATACACAGACACACATAACATGTAGAACACATACACAGCACACATGTGTGATGCCTACATAGACACACAACGCATGGGGATGCACATTTAAAACATAGGTTCAACTAGTAAAATTACTCTTAATTTCCTATTGCTTGAATAAAATTCTTTTTTTTCAAATTATAAGAAAAAAGTTTATTTAAAAAGTTACAGGGTTAGTAAAAGTGAACCCTAGAAGAAATGGGCTCAGGAAACAAGTTACAGAGGCAAAAGAAGGGCCCTTGGAGCTTAGGAGAGAGAAAGGCAAAGGTAATGCTAATGCTCCTTTGGGGGAAGAAAAGAGGAAAGGGAAAGGCACAGGCATGCTCCAGAGAGTGCGTGCTCTGCAGAGCGAGAGCGTGCCTCTTTTCCCCCCTAATTTTCCCTTGGTTGTTTTACTAAGCTTCATGAAGTTGGCAAACAAAAAAAGGCTAAATGTTCAATGTCTCACTCACAGCCTAGTCAGCAGCAGAACTCATCCTGGAACTGAGGACCTTGAGAAGTTTTGGGAGATTCTTGCTCCTGTCTTGCTTTAGATACAGGGGTCCCAAAGCAAGAGCCTGGGTGGTTGTAGGAGCTTAAGAGGTGTGGGAAAAGAAAAGCCATAAAATTGTTCTAATCCTTTCTTTCCCTTGATAGACTGGAGCTTGAGATCTAGGGGTTTTGTCAGAGATGACTGCTGGTGATTGCTTTTTTTTTTTTTTTTTTTAATACATCTTTATTGATTTCAAAGAGAGGAAGGGAGAGGGAGCGAGAGAAAGAGAAACATCAATCATCAATGATGAGCCTGGCTGGGGGTGGCTCAGCGGTTGAGCATCAACCTAGGATCCAGGAGATCTCAGTTTGATTCCTAA